GACAACTGATTGAAACTTTGGAATGGGATGGCGGAGTTCAGCGTACATCAGGGTGGAGAACTGAAAAAAAAAGTTTATTTTTTCAAGTTCTGGTTCCTGTAAATTTCCTCACTGAAAAGGACTAGATCATTTCTAAGAACACTGTCAGCTTTATATCATAACATGACATTCCGTAATAATTAGAATTGTTATACAAAACTAGAGGAAAAAAATGTAACAAAAAAATGTCCTCTTATGTTCTTTTATATTATTCATTGCATTGTGTAGGGACACACACAGATGTGTTCAAACACCCCATATGACACTATTCAGCCTTTTTATTGTGGAAGCCAAGTAGACTAAGTGGAAGAAAGTAATCTGTACCGTGTAATTGCAGAGAGTCTTCAAAACGCAATCTAATAACGTGCATCTGTATTAGAAAGTTGGTTGTTCTAAAATAAACTTGGAAAGCAGAACTTTATCTTCTCCTTAAATATGTCTGTACTTCCAAACAACTATGATGTAAGCAATATTAATGATATTTGGTTCCTTAGAAAGTTGTGTAACCATTAACTTTTTTTTTAAAGACTAGACAGTTTTAGATTCACAGCAAAATTAAGAGGAAAGTAGTTTTCCCATGTACCTCCCAGCCCCTGCACATGATTAACTCTTATTTTTTGCTATTATTTAGGTACGTTTCTCTCTCTTTTTTTTTCTTTTAGCCGAACATTTTACTATGGGAAACTTTAAGCAAATGCAATAACAGAATAGTACAATTCACCTCATGTATCCATCACCCAGTTAACCATTAAATAATGGCCAGTCATGTTTCTCTTTATGCCCACACACTTGCTGCCCCTCACTAGGCTATCCTGAATTACAAGTGAAAAATAACAGTACTTCCTCAGTATCATCAGCTAGTTATTTAAAAAATCCCTCAGTTGTGTTCTGGCTGCTTTTGTTACAATGGTTTCTTTGATCTCTATCTAAACAAGATCCATGGGTTGTTATTTGGTTAGACAACTCTTAGAGGTTATTAATCTAGACTTTCCCTCTTTCTATTGATTAGTTGAAGAAACCAGGTTATTTGTCCTGTAGATTTTCTCACTGTCTAGCTTTTTCTGATTGCATCCTTCTGGTGTCATTTAAAATGTTCCTTCGTCCCTGTATTTCCTATAATCTGGTAGTTAGATACAGAAGTCTGGTGTTAATTTTTCTAAGAATACTTCACTGGTGGTGTTAGGTGCTGCTACTATGAAGCACATATTCTAGCTGTCTCTTTGTAATTCTAGTAGTCATCAGGGATCATCGCTGAGATCCTTGATTGCCATCAGGGGTTTATGAAACAGTCACCTTGTCATTTCATCATTCCTAATTGATTAGCTTGAATACACACACACACAGAGAAAGATCACTTTTCCTCATTAACTATCTACTCTGAAATATATTTCATAAAAGAAGAGTACATTAAATGCTTAAGTCTTTTATTTGCCAGTTTTCATAATATAACTGTAATGTTTCCAAAGGCGATCACTGATTTTTTTTTCCTTTTGGTATCATTATGAACTCACGAACTTTTGATATATTAGATGTATTTCAATATTCACTTATTATTTTTATTGATATGAAAATTATCCCATCTTTGGATACAATCTACCCCAGTGAGAACAGTTTCAATGTGGCCCCTGTGTTGTTTTGACATGGGCCTAGTAGTCTTTGAAAGACTACTTGCTTTATGCCATGACCAATACTTATTTTCACTGTCCCTCAACATATGTATTTATGTATACCAATATTATTAATAACAATAGGATTACTGAAAACAGGTTAAAATTTGTCCTTGTTTTTTATTCTCTGGACGGTCAAATTATTGTTCTTAAAAATCACTTAAAGTAATTCCCCTCTCTAAACCACCAATTCAATATAGAATTAGGTTCATTTGTTTTGTTTTTATTTAGAATTTTTAGGGATTGTTTTTATTTTTATTTAGTTCTGTTAAAAATAAGTAAAAGTTACATGATTTTAAAGTGAACTCTACAAAACGAGGTATAGTCAAAGTCTGTTTCCTCTCCTTTTTCACTTTGTTCATTTTGCCCCATTTTCTAAGAAAGAAAACATGTTTTCGCCTGTATTAAAACACAAACATCTATTGCCACCCTTAGATAAACGGCATCCTACTATGTACATTTTTCTCTACACACATCTACTTACACAGTATCCTGGAGATCATTCCATAGAAGTATAAAGAGTTATCTTTCAACTTTTTATAGTTACACAGTTTCACTGTTTGGATTTACCACACATTATTCAATCAGTCCCCTCTCAGTGGACATTAGGGTTTTTAGCTTTTTAATAATATAGAAGTTTTATAATGAATGTGGATGTGTAAGTCAGTTTATAGTCAAGTGTGTGTCTTTGGTATAGATGTGTAGGAATGGAATTGTTGGGTCAAAGGGCAAATACATATACAATTTTACTAGTTTTGCCGAATTACCCTCCACAAATGTTGTGCTATTTTACAAATGCGTATCTAATTGCACAAGGAAAGACTGTATAAATATAGAGAGAGTGGAATTAAAGACTAAATATGATCTAATGTCAACAGATACAAAGAATTAGCAAAAATACTAATTGCATTTTTATTTAAGTTACTCTTCCCATTGATAGCTATTCATTTATATAACAGCTCTGTCTTGATGGGAGCTTCTGTAACAGATAATATTTGCTAAATCTAATCCATTATGATTATACAATGCAAAATTATTGATATTCAAACAGATTCGCATTTATAAAGGACTATTATCTAGGAAGCCAGCTTGCTTCCACATGACTCACCTTTTCATTGGAAACTTAATAGGAGTAGAAATTATAAATTTGTTCGTTGTGCATACCTCACAGTAGACATTAGCCCTTTTCATCATAAGCCATAACCTATACATTATGAAACCATCTCAGAAAGTCACTAACTTTTAGACTAGAGAATAATGAAATTTTAAAAACATCATTTTAAATACTTAGATTTGCTTCTTAATGGTGTCTTATCATGGATTGATAATTATACTCCTTTGGTTTAAAGCTATTGAGTGATTCACAATGAGATGACTGACAAAACCCAAAGTAATAGTCTAAAGACTTCTTAAACCACTACTTCCAAATCTGCTTCTCTTTATTGATATAATGAGGGGAGAATTAATTTTAAAAGGTGGTGACTATTGATTACTTAATGGCAGAAGATAGTGTTGAGAAATGCTGAAGTGAGCCTATTCTGTGCCCTCCTGGGCAACAGGACCCATTATCCAGTGGTGGAAATCATGCTGTAACCCTCATTAATATTTAACAGGACGCAGGCTGGATGCAGGCTGCAAAATTGCCCTAGGCAAAGGTTCCAATAGGCCATCAGAATGTTTCAAGCATATAAAAGAGTAACAGATTTCCCTGTGTTCAGATTGTTTATAAGCAGGACAACACCACACTCAATTCCCTTTTGTGATCCCTGGGCAATGGTAGCCTCACGGAAATGCCTACTAGGCAAGCAGAAGTGATTAATGCTCTGGGAAGTCATTCTAGGTTAGTAAGCCCTGCATGAGAAGACTTCGTATTTTCCAGCGTGGGTCTCGGTTTCAGCCCTTCTCTCTCGCGCTTCTTGCCACAAGCTGAAGGGCTCGTTCGGCCGGGGTGGCGAGTCAGCAAAAGGCGTTAATCGTGTCTATCACAGCCACCGTCCTTGGGGCGGTGTCACGTATCACACTGTCTATCAAGCTCACCTCTTGTCACACATCAGGATCTTTTTATTTCGGCTCATTTAAAAGGGAAACAAGGAGTTTTAAAGATAGCTGGTGGGGAAACATGAGTCTAAGAGTGCTTGGAAGAACAACGAGCCTTCCAAGCTGACTTGTACTAAACTGGGCTGTGACTTCTCAAAGGACAAGACACGGTTTTATAAATTACTGGCTCCCATTGTTAACTTTTCAAATGACCAGGTGATTTTTCCGTACCAGCAGCTTATTCTGAAAATATTATAAGCTTGGAACGAAATTAAGTTCTTGAGACAGAACATATTCTTAGGATTTATGGGTGCATAAAGGACACAACATCACGATATCCACCATTCCAAACAATGTATAAAATTAGTGAAGAAATATCCATTTTTTGACTCTATGACTCTAAAGATTGTTGCAACTGTATTTAGGGGAATCATTTACTTTGTAACATATGAAGAATTATTTATAATTACCTGCTTAGAATGAGTTACATAAGAATAAAAATTTAGCTTTGTAGGCAAAAAGTATCCGAGGGAACAAGTCTTCTATTAACATACTGAGCTTTTTCTCAAAACCAGTGAATGAAATTGACCCAGAGGTCTCATTGTAATCCCATGCGAAATGTGGACAAATTCGGTTTTACTTTCAACCTCCGACTGGCATGCCTAAATGCTGCTTTCAGTTTATTCCTAGCTCTGCGTGTACGCCTTCTCTTTCTGACACCAAGTAGAGAGTCTCAAATTATCAAGTTATCAATGATAAATGCATTTGTATTCATTTTGGTTTTTTGACAAATACGATCTTTATGAGGCATACTGGTGGATCTACTCATGTTTTTGTTTGTTTTGTTGTTGTTATTTGTTTATTAGTTGGCTGGTTAGTAATACATGTCATTCTGTCATGGAAATTAGTTTGTGGCTAGCTCACTTCAAGAAGGCTCAGCTTAGAATTCATAGATTCTTCAGCTGCCATTCCCAAGAGCAGAAGTAACACTATAAATTGAAAACAATTTAATAGATTTTCTTCAAGGTTCTTAACACTGTAACATAAAACGTATGAAGGCATTTTTGTCAACTGTAAATATTATAATGTTAATAATAGTTATACTTTCACTGCCTTTAGATATTCCAGAGAGCTTTTTTAATCCTATATTTGCAGTATATTGACGCCTACTGAACCATAATCTAATCTATTTAGCAATTTTATCAGTGAAAGTCACAAATTCTAAATGTCCTTTCCTTTCTCTTTCCTATTTTATAGCGCAGCAGTAGTTTTGGGAATTTTGATCATTTTCGGAATCACTCCATTTCAAAACCAGATGATTCAACCGAGGTTAGTATTTTATTACAATTTTATGAATGTTATGCAAACACATTAGGAAAAATTATGAAGCCAATATCACTTTTGCAAAGTAAAGTATATTTAGAAGTCACAGTCTTGCCTATATTTTTGTAACAAATGAACAAAGAACTACTTAGTACCTAGTTACCATGCTGGGTATTAAAAGTAAAAAGTAAAAAGCTCTATAAGAAGCCTAACATTAGGAAAAGCAGAACATGAACTTAAGAAGAGAGTTACAGATAGGAGGAATTTGAGAAACAAGACAGAGGATCATAGGGGAAGGGAGGGAAAAATGAAACAAGACGAAACCAGACAGGGAGACAAACCATAAGAGACTCTTAATCTCAGGAAACAAACCGAGGGTTGCTGGAGTGGAGAGGGGTGGGAGGGATGGGGTGGCTGGGGGATAGATATCAGGGAGGGTATGTGCTATGGTGAATGCTGTGAATTGTGTAAGACTGATGAATCACAGACCTGTACCCCTGAAACAAGTAATACGTTATATGTTAATAAAAAAATTTTAAAAGACAGAAAGCAAACTGATGATTTCCAGAGAGGAGAGGGTTGGGGGACAGGATGATACAGGCTTCCAGTTATTGAATGAATAAGTCACAGAAAACAAAAATAACAGCATAGGGAATATAGTCAATGGTATTAAAAAAAAAGAGAGAGAGTTACAATGTAATGGAACACAAATAATCCCAAATTTTCTGAGCATTTCCACCATAAAACAATATATATGTTAAATTTTTTGTAGATGGTAATTGCTTTAATTTAATGATTAAATGGCTTAGTTGTAAATTTGTCAAAGAGAGCATATGGTTGCTCAATTGCACTCAACACTTCTACCATGTGCATTGCTATGCTTCACAGGTGACTATTATGTCCACATTTGCAAACCATGAACACTTTAAATGCAGCTTAAGGAAAGCTTCCCATAAAATTAAGTCTATATAAAAATCATGGTAATAATAATATCTACATTTAATTGAACACGTATCATGATATAGGCACAACACTAAACACTTTCCTACCTCTAATATAGGAACTATTAGTATTATTATTTTACCAATGAAGAAATATATTTCGTTGAGTAAAGGTACTTCTAAATTACACAGTTGATAAATGACAAAGGCAGAACTCAACATCTTGTCTGACTTCAAGTTTGCATTTCTGTTATACTATCTCACAAATGACAGGCCAACTGTGATGTGATTAATGAAAAGCTTAACAACTGACCAAACAGTAGAGAAGAGGGATATATACTGAGAAAATTAAAAATAATGTTTATCATTAAACCTGATTCAGCAACTCCACATGTGATACATTTTAGATCAATAGGTTTTGGATCTTATGTATTTCTTAATTATTCATTCTCATTATTGTATGTTTATTTTATAAGGAATTTTTCCTGTTATATTTAATTTCTCAATATACTTTTCAGATTCCTATGTGTATGTATCTATAATATTTTTAAATATTGGTATTTCAGTAATGGATATTCTAAATAAAAAAATGAAAATAGAATGACATTTAGTATTACTTTATAAATATATCCATTAGTACACATATATGCGTGTGTGTATAATATATCCCCTTTACATATATGTATATTATTTATATACACATGCTTATGGATAAACCTATAAATAGCTATATAGTTTATCCACATTTATTTAGTTTTAAATAAGACAATATATGTATATAGTGAGAAACCCCATATAATTTCATTCTCAATTAACATCTTATATAAACCTTTAATTTCCCATAATCACACATAGATTGTAGATTCTACACAGTAGAATCTGCTGTTTAGTTTATAATTCTAGGGTTAACCTGTAAAAGTAGCTCAGACTCATTCAGGTTCATTGATGAGTAATGGTGGCTTAGTAATTTGTGAAAGAATTTAGTGACCCTGAAAAAGTAGTTCACACATTTTTCAGCAATTCAGCATTCATTCATTCAACAGGTATTTCTTAAGCACCTACTCTATGACAGTGTTTCCATTAGGCACTCAAAAATTACTGTTGCAATTGATGAAAATCCCTACTTCATGAAGGCTAAAGTATAGAGGGAGAGACAGATAGAAAAGCAACAATGACAACAACTGTAAATAAATATCTAATAAATTTGTGATTCAGACTATGAAAAAGAACAGCATGGAAAAATGTGAAAGTTGAAAATATGCTGAGGTAGTTTCTTTGAAACGTCTGTAAGAAACAATAGAAAAACCTAAAACTAAAAATATTTGTGATACTGGGGCACCTGGGTGGCTCAGTTGGTTAAGCCTCTGCCTTCAGCTCAGGTCATGATCTCAGCAACCTGGGATCCAGCCCCACATGGGGCTCCTTGCTCAGCGGGGAGCCTGCTTCTCCCTCCCCTCTGCCTGCCCCTCCCCCTGCTTGTGTTCTCTCTCTGTCAAATAAATAAATAAAAATCTTTAAAAAAATTTGTGATAATATGTGATAATTTATGTAAAATATGTGATAATTTAAAAAATATTTGTGATACTTTCTTGAAGCTTAGGCAACAGTAATTTAACACAGTCATAAAATAATATGCTTTCTTTTTTTTTGTTTTTTTATGGGTTGTTTTGTTTTGTTTTTAGTTTGTAATTTTACAGTGAAGATAGAGCTTAAGTAAAGAGAAGAGAAAAGAAAAGGCTAATTTTAAAAATTTAAAGGCTAAATTTAAAAAATTCAAGTTATATTTTATTCAGGGCTTTTCAATTAAGCGAAGAATCTGCCTTTTATAACCTTGAATGTAGAAATTAAAGTTCAATGAGGACTTAAATAGGCTGTCCATTCGTATTTATCATAGGCAATTTGGGGTAAGATATGAAGTAAAACATAATATTGACTAATAATTTTGTTAACTATGTGGTTAAACCTTCCTATTAAAATATTCAAGGAGAGCCTGGGTGGCTTAGTCAGTTAAGCATCCAACTCTTGACTTCGGCTCAGGTCAGATCTCAGGCTTGTGAGATTCAGCCCCGTGCTGGGCCTGCAGGGAATCTACTTGAGACTCCCTCCCTCCTTCCTCTACCTCCTACCCCCATGCATGTTCTCCCTCTCTAAAATAAATAAATAAATCTTAAGTATAACAAAAATACAAATTAGATATTCAAGTTAACTAAAGGGAAGTTTCCCCTAATTTTTTTTATATTCAGGAAATATCTGTCTGTCCACCCATCAAGAATGGTGGGCAATGCTAGACTAGATGACCCTTAAGGGTCCTTTCTTGAAATCTAAGATATTGAGGATATATAACCCAATAGGTCCTTCAAGAAAAAAAAAAAAACAAAAAACACTCCAAAGTTCTACATGAGAAGTTTTGCTTATTCAAAAAATATCAAGTGTCAGTTATGTTCCTGGAAGTGTTCTAGATGTTCAGAATAAATAAAAAATATAAAATCTCTAGGCTCATGGAGCATACCTCATAGTGGGCAGGCAATAATTAATCAAACAAAGTATCAGATAATGTTAAATACTTAGAATACACTACATATGAATTACATGAAGATTTGTATACTAATGGCTAGACCAACTTCATATTTACTATTGATTGAGAATGTGGGAAATATGCATGGGATACTCACCTGCAAGAAGAAAAAATTGCACTTTCTCAGATTTACTTAACTCCAAAACTTTTTTACAAATGACTATTTCAATTTCTAAAGAATCAAGAGGATATTTTAATGCCCGTTAAGCATGAATACATGCTATAGCCTTTCTAAAGGCCCCAATAAAATATCTCCATCTATGTAGACTTAATCACTCATTATGCCTGTCATTTAATTCTCTTTTGCCCATCTCAAAAATGGGAAAACCTGGGGTGCCTGGGTGGCTCAGCTGGTTAAGCATCTGCCTTCAGCTCAGGTCATGATCCCAGGGTCCTGGGATCGAGCCCCGCATCAGGCCCCCTGCTCAGCGGGAAGCCTGCTTCTCCCTCTCCCTCTGCCTCTCCCCCTGCTCATGCTCTATCGCTCTCCTCCCCCCACCCAATAAATAAAATCTTTTAAAAAAATGGGAAAAATTAAAGTGGCTCTACTGTACAGCTATTCAAGGGATAACTAAAATTCTTTAAAAAAAATGTTTAGGTGTGAAGCTCAGGTCCTTCGATACCGCAAGTTTTATTTTCTGAGTTTGTAACACATGTAAACAGGCTTGGACAACTTTAAAAATATGTATTATATTAAGATTGAAGTTTTGGAGGCTGCTGAACATAATACATAGGAAACCCACAAATCTGAAATCTTCTCTTTAATAATGTTTTCAGATCAATGATTTTTATTGCTTTATTATTCTGTCTTTTGTAAACAATTCTAACTAGGTATATGAAGGGGAACCCATAAATGAAAGTGGAGAACAAAATAAAACTTCAAATAATGGAAGAGGTTTAGGGAAAAAAATGAGAGCTATTTCCTGGACAATGAAGAAAAAAGTGGGTAAAAAGTACATCAAAGCCCTTTCTGAGGAAAAGGTAAGTATACTCTGCTAATCATTTGTATTTTTCTATTAATTTTTTTTTAATAGTCAACAGATTCTTCTTCTAGATAGAGAATCACTTGGTCCTTTAGGAAGGACTTCAACATCTATTTTCTCCCTCAGAAGTTAGATGGAAAAAAACCATTATGACTCCTACGTTAATAGAGGAAATGGAGGCTCAGAAAGATCACACACGTAGTATATGAAGAACGATTATGTCATATGTTGTAACAAACATCAGTACTTCATTTCTTTTTATTGCCAAATAATATTCCATTTTACACATAAACTACATTTTATTTTTCCTTTCATCAGTTGATAGACATTTGAGTTGTTTTCACTTTCTGGCTATTGTAAATAATACTGCCATAAATATTTATGAGTTTTTGTGTGGAAATATTCTTTTGTTTCTCTTGGGTATATGGTAACTATCTGATATTTTGATTGGCAACCTGCTTCCCAAAGCAGTTGCATCATTTTACATTTCCACTAGCAATGTGTGAGGGTTCCAATTTCTCCACATGCTTGCCAACACTTGTTACTGTCTTTTCGATGCTAGCCTTCCTGGTGGGTGTGAAGTGGAATTTCAATGTGGCTTCGATATGCTCTTCCCTGATGACTAATGATGCTGAGAATCTTGTCGTGTTCTTATGAGCCATTTGTATATCTTCTTTAAAGAAATGTTTACTCAGGGACACCTGGGTGGCTCAGTCGAGTAAGTGTCTGCCTTCGGCTCAGGTCACGATCCCAGGATCCTAGGACGGAGCCCCATGTCGGGCTCCCTGTTCAGCAGGGAGCATGCTTCTCTCTCTCCCTCTGCCTGAGGTTCCCGCTGCTTGTGCTCTCTCTCTCTCTTTCAGTCAAATAAATAAATAAAATCTTTAAAAAAAAAATTAAAAAAAATGTTTACTCAAATCTTTTGCCCGTTTTTTAATTGGGTTATTTGGGGTTTTTTTATTGTTGACTTTTAAGCTTTTTAAAAATATATCCTGGATGCAAGTACCTTATCAGATACATGATTTGCAATATGATATATTTTCTCCCATTCTGTGGACTATTTTTTCACTTTTTTGATGGTATCATTTGCAGCACAGAGGTTTATAATTTGATATAGCTCAATTGGTCCATTTTTTTGTCATTTAACTTTTAATATTGCAATTAAAAAACTATTGTTTAACTTAAGTTCACAAAGATTTACTCCTGTGCTTTCTTCCAAGAGTTTACAGCTGGAGCTCTTAAATTTTGGTGTATGATCTACTAATTTTTCTATGGGGTGTAGTAGGAGTCCATCTTCATTCTTTCGAATATGGATACCAAGTTGTCACAACACTAATTTGTTCAGAGGACAATTATTTTACTGTTGTTTTTTCTTGGCACCCTTGTTGAAAATCTACTGATAATAAATACATGGTCATAATTATATATGGGTTTATTTCTGACTCTCAATTCTGTTACATTGATCTGTAAGTCTTAGTCCATTCTCTTTTTAGCCCACTTCAGTAGGACTTCCGTCCCCAATAATCCATTAAAACAGTAATCATAATTGATATTAACCTCTGTGTGGCTGAATTTACTGGTCACTTTTCTTACTTCTTACATTACTTTTCAACCGTATTTGACACAAGTGATGATTTCAATACATTTGAAACATTCTCTTTTCTTGGTTTCTTTAACTGAGCATTCTTCTGGCTTTCTTTCTTTCTCAGTTTCCTTTCTTGGCTTTGGAAAGACTGTCTCTCTAAATATTGAGTCCTTCTGAGGCTTATTCCTAGATGCTCTACTCAGTCTACTCTCCCCCTCAGTGATCTCATCTAGTCTCATCACTTTGTTTTTCTGCAATTAATCTCTAGCTATGATATCTTATCTGTTGTACTTAAACAACCAATTGTGGGAGTGCCTGGGTGGCTCAGTCGGTGCTCAGGTCATGATCTCAGGGTCCTGGGATCTCTGCATCGGGAGCCTGCTTCTCCCTCTCCCTCTCCCTCTCCCTCTCCCTCTCCCTCTCCCTCTGTGCTGTCTCTCTCTCAAATAAATAAATAAAAACTTAAAAAAAAACCCTAAACTAAACATATGTTAAAAAAAACCCAACCAACTGCGTATTCAATATCATCATTTATATGTACAATAGGTTTCTGGAACCCAATATATTCAAAACTGAATTATTAATTCTCCATGCTCTACCAAAAAACATGTTTCTTGTCCAGTCTTCCCAGTAGTAATAGACAACATTGCCATAACTCTAGATGGAAAGAAGAGAAAAGAACAGAACAGAGAAGAAAAGGAAAGAGAAGAAGTAAGGTAGGAAGGAAGGAAGTAAAGAAAGAAGAAAGCCCAAGAATCATTCCAAATTCCTTTTTTCTCTCACTTTTCACACCAGTTCATCACCACCTCCTCTTGGCTCAAACTCCAAAATCTTACCTAAAACTCCTAATTTCTCTATGTAAACTATTCCTGCTTTAGACCAACCAACCAACCAACCAACCAAGAACAACTTCTCTTGCCTAGACTGCCATAAAACCACCTAATTGGTCATCTTTCTTCCACTCTTTCCTCCATAAAAGCCATTCTCCACACAAAAGCCAGAAGGCTCTAAAGTGGAATTCAGAACACATCATGCCCCTTGGTTAAAATTTTATAATGCCTTCACAATGCCTTCCCTTACTATAGTATGTTCATTCCAGTCCTCTGAGAAGCAGGTCCTAAGAAAGCAATGGACACACCAAAGACTATTGGGGAAAATGAATGTGAAGGATAGAGAAAGAAGAACTGGATAGGGAAAGCCTTCAGACAACAGTGCAAGTCTGACACTGTGAAAGGAGAGGAAGAAAGTGTTAGCCAGACTGGTAGATAGTCCCTGAACCAAAGTTTTCCATCAGAGGAGCCCTGTATCCCACCAGAATGGACTCAAATGGTACCCCCACTGTTTCAGTCACTGGCAGAGAGCATGGCCTCCATGCAGACACCATGGTGAATTCAGTGGCTGGGGCTGTCAGTAAAGAAGGGTCTCACAGCAAAAGACCTGAGTGACACATTTCCATGACCACTACACTTGGTCTATAAAGCTCTTCCTGATCTGACTCCAGTGTACTTCTCTGAGCTCATTTTCTAACACTCTCTTTGCTCTCACTCAGCTCCAGCTACATTGGCCTGGTCTTCCCGCTCACAACCCAAGCTAATTCTGAGTTGAGTTATTTTGTTCTTGCTATTCTTTTTGCTTGGAAAACTGCCTCCAATTCTTTATACAAGTTATATCTTAACATTCAGGTCAAGAATTCAGAGCATATATTACCCTACAGAGGAGGTCTTTGGAGGCTACTCCATCGAAATCAGCCAATCTTCCCCTAACCCTAATCCAGTAGCTAATCCTCTCACATCACTGTTTTATTTCCTTCATAGCACTTATTCCCTGAAATTTTCTTTTGCGTTTTGTTTACACACACCTCCCCAAACACTAAACACAAACACACACACACACACACAAACCCTAACACACTAAAACGTATCTCATTAGAGCAGGGACCGTGTTATCTTGTTTACTATGGTATCCCCAGTTCCCAAAAACAGTGCCAGGTCCTTACAAGGTGTTCTCTAAATTTGTGTTGAATGACTGAACAAATAAATAAAGGAAAGGGTATAAGCAGAGAATCAAACTGAGTATATATCATATATGTATTCTGAAGTTTTATCGATGTTTAGAAATGCTCATAAATGAGGAATATTGAATTACATTTTGATGAATATTAAGAAATTTATAGGTTTTGTCCAAACTATCTAAATATGGAAGACATTTGAGATGTTTTCAAGCAGATGTAATCTGTTTTGAAATTGTCTGTCTTTCCGAATTTTATGCAGGATTTGCTTTACACTTGACTAGGTGTGCAAGCTCGGTATGACGATTTGTAAAGCTTCTTAGATAAGCTTCACTTTAGAATTGCAAAATGTGCATGTTTTATTCACATCTAGTGATCTGATAGGGCGCAATAACTGACATGAAACAACTCTGTAGAATTTAAACTTGTAATATCAGATCTCAAAGGATTAGTAATGGTGGTAAATAGATGATAAGGAGAACATGAAGAAATAAAAGTGCTTTAACAGATAAAGCATAGATGTTAATAAATCTAACATTTCTGATTAAGTAGCCTCAATATGATATTCATACTAATTTACAAAATGAATTATTATAATTTCATTTGAATTCCATAATGTGGAATGTTTCATCTAAAGAATTTTTCCAAGTATAACGTGTTTTGCTCGAAATTGAACTAAAGATTAATGACCCTCATATTTTATGCTGATGTATTCCTAAGTATTTTATTACTAAAACATGTCTTGTTTGTTAAATCAAGTGGATATCTCCATGGAAATCAGTTCTCTGCACTTAACCTCTGATATGTTTTTTCTGAAGGATGAGGAAGTTGGAGAGGGTGCCCTCCCATATCGGAACAGTGACCCAATGATTGGATCTCACACAGAGAAGGTCTCCCTCAAAGCCAGTGACTCCATGGATAGTCTCTACAGTGGGCGGAGTTCATCAAGTAAGCCTATAGAATAAGGGACAAGATCCTTCCTGGGAGGGCTCAGCTAATTAAAAACAGCAGATTTTTAACTATAGAGAACAAACTTGATGGTTACCAGAGGGGAGGTGGATGGGGGATGGGTGAAATAGGTGATGGAGACTGAAGAGTACACTTATCATGATGAGCACTGTGTAAATGTACTGAAGTGTTGAATCACTATACTGTACACCTGAAACTGATAGAACACTGTTATGTTAATAATACTGGAATTAAAAAAAAAAAGAGAGAGAAACAAATTCAAATGAAAACCAACAACAGATTGGCTTCTCTGGGGCTTATCAAATTAGCAAAAAGTTTCCAGCTACATGATAAGAGAAATAGTGAAAATGTAGGATTGCTGAATCCATAGAGCTGCTGGTGTTTAAAATGATACACAATATATTCGACAGAATTATGTATTATTTTGAAACTTTTAACACTGTAGTTGGCAGAACTCTTGGGGATATGCCTCAAAAAGATCATGTTGGGTGACTAAAATCTGCATCTCTAAAATAAAAATGTTTGCTTAGGAGAACTAGCATTATCTTGAGTCAAAATTTTTAAAATGACTTGACGTGTTCAGATAAATGAAATCCTGTTCTGTCTCTTCTTCCTTCCCTCCCTTTCTCCTTCCTTTCCTTTTTTCCTCCTTCTTTTCTTCCTTCCTTCCTTCTCCTCTTCCTTTCTTCTCTCCCTCCTTTCCTTTCTTTCTTTCTTCTCTTTTTTTCCCTTCTCCTGTCCTCACTTTTTCCTTCCTTTCGGTTCTTTTTTGCCTGAAGTATTCTGAAAAGAGCAGGACGTATGCATCAATTCCCACATTTACTTTTTCGGTGTCCATCCAGCATTAGTGAGTCAAGAATGAAATACAAATGTAAATACTAAATAGAAGGAATATCACTGGGTGACAGAAAGGAAGCAGCATGCATTCAACAAGGATTTTCTAAAATCATTGTTTCCAAGAGGGAAGTCGTTCAGGTTTCAGTCACATAGCCTGCTACAGTATTTGAATGAAACTACAGGGCACCTTATAACTTTTTTATGTGTACACTGTTATTCATCCCTCTGATCTTTTCAGGGCTTTTAAATGTTTTCTTTTTTTGCAAGGTTTATTTTCCATTTCCTTTTTAATCAACTGCTTCTGTTATTTGAAGAGAGATCTCAAAGACCTACTTTTCCTATTGGCTGAAGAAGAGTTATTTTGTGGAAAAAAAAAAAACTAATGTAGAAACATTTGAAGGATATATTTTTGCATGTGTGAAATTCAGATTTCATAACTATTCACTTCTGCTGGAAGTTTTAAAATTCTCAATTGTAATGCTGAATGTGGGTAGAATTTTACTAACTGGAATGTACCACGAAAAGCCAGTGCCAGGGGTGGCCATGGAAGGGAAGGTGTAAGGAGATGGTGGCCCACTTAGCTATTGTCATACACAACTTAGTTTCTTAGTTACATGCAACTCACCCTTTCTTACAACGGTTCATATTCAATATAGAACATCTCTAAGGTTCTCTACCTTATTTCCATAATTATTTGAAAAATAGTAGAGAAACCAGGGCTGTTTTGTCTTTGAACAGAGCACTGAAAGGCCACACTGAAGGAGACAGTGAAAGTAGTGGAGAGTGTTGAGAGTGGTGGAGAAACCGAGAGTTACTTCCCCTGGGAACCATTCTTGCCCCCATCCTGCAGGCAGCAAAAATGGAATCTTTTTTCTTTTTTTCCCTTGAGGTTCAAACTCAGAAGGGAAAAGGACCAGAGAACAAGGATTTGGAGCAATTTTAAAAGCCCACTTTAGAAAGTTTAGAACCACTTGGGAATATAGACACTGGAACACACTTTCTCTTTCCTTCACATTCACACAACAAGCAAAAGTGCTACCTTTTATGCATAGAGATGTTGTTTCAAAATGGCTTTTGGCACATAAGAGGATGTTTGGGAGAGCATTCTAGCTACATTGTGGTAAGTATCGGGAACCCTGTAGTCTTATGCTTTGACCATTTGTGATCAGTAGCACATAAAGGTCAAACTGTTGCTATAGGTTTTTGTCTTTGTTTACAGGTACAAAATGAATTGTCTGGCCTGTATAGGGAGTTAAGTCTGTATCGTCCGCCTCTTTAGCAAGTGTTCAATGCTCAAAACACTGTGCTACCAGATCAGATCACAGAGACTGTAGTGAGAGGGTGTCTGGGTTAGTGGTTGAGGAAAGAATGGTCAGATTGGCTGGAGAAAGTTCAGAAACGGCTCAGAGGACAGAGGTCAATGATGGAGAGTGACTGGGAGGCAGAAAAAATAGGAACCCATCACTCAGAACCCCTTCAAAAGGTTGGCATCCAGTGCTTCAGCATTATCCCTGCTTCGCTGTATCCAGACGATGGTTCAGAATGTTATGAACCTTCAGTGAGAACTGTTAACCTCTGCTTTGCTTTCATCAGGCGGAATAACAAGCTGTTCAGATGGTGGTACAAGTAACCGGGATAGCTTTCGACTTGATGATGATGGCCCCTACTCTGGACCCTTCTGTGGCCGCGCCAGAGTACATACTGATTTTACACCAAGCCCCTATGACACTGACTCCCTCAAAATCAAGGTGTGTGCACCTCGTATCTGCATTCCGTGTGGTTTGTCTAGCACTGGAGGTATGATCTGTGTCAGGAAGTACAAGCATGGGCAGCGGGGAGGGGTGGCGAGTGTGTTCTTCTCCACAGTGGGACTGAGGACTGGGTTCCTGTGGCAAGAATTTGAGCAGAATACATGAGGTGGGATAGGGGAATCAGATTCTGTTGAGGCTACAGCCTAAGTTGCTGTCACGGAGGTAATGCAGAATCCGAGCCTATCAGGGGAGAAGAAATTGTTTACATTTTTCTGAAAGCCAAAAGACTCACAGGTTCCTGGAGGCGCCCAGCTCTGCCTGATACTTGCTGGAGTTAAAAGGAGAGAGAGAAAAGATGGCGATATCAGGCAAGAGCCGCCCACAGCAACTCCCTTGGGAACCAGACTTGGTTGGGCAACTGCAGTGCTTAAGTTAGTTGCTATGAATAACCAGACATCTTTCTCCCAATGATATTCCCTCCTGAATTCCCTCTTCTTAACTCTTGTTCTCTGTATTCGTTTTCTATTGCTGTGGAACAAATTTCCACAAGCTCAGGGACTTTAAACAACACAAATGTATTACCTCACAGTTCTATAGGTCAAACATTTGGTCATGGCCCAACTGCATTCCCTGCTTAAGGTCTCACTGGGCTAAAATCCAGGTGACAGCTGGAGCTGTAATCTCCCTGGGGTCAGGTCCTCTTCCAAGGCAGAATTCAGTTGCTTGTGGTTGTAGGACTGAGACTCCTGCTTTCTTGCTGGATATTGTCTGGGAGTCACTCTCGGACCCTTGAGGTTGCCAGCCATGGTCCTCTCTGCAACATGGCAGTTTGCTCCTTCAAAGCCTGCAGGGGAAAAGCTCACTCATGTTTCAAATCTCTTCAAGAGCTCCTACCTGATAAAGTCAGAAACACCCAGATAATCTCCCTCTTAATTACAACATTAACTAATTTGGGACAGTAGTTACATCCGCATAGTCCCTTGCAACATAAAATACAACATAATCATGGGTGGGAAATCCATCGTTTTCATAGTCCTACTCACACTAGAGGGGAGGTGCTTTTGCAATCATACAAATAGAAGGTTTGGTGCTAAAGTATTTTATACATGTTAAATTATTCCTTTTAGTAACACAAACTGATATAGCTAAAAGGACAGAAATTATGACTTTTCTATACTATCAACACCAAGCCAATGTTAACCAGCAGTTATAAGTTATGAAGTATTGATGTTATTATTTAACATTCAAGACACTCTGCTCTTCTCTTTATCCCTTCTATTGTAAAAAACCAGAGTAAGCTCAGCGGGAGAATGAGGAGAACATTATTTTCCATAGTTAGCTCCTTAGTCGTTTCTATGAAATGATCTGAAGTCTAAGTTAAAGTTTTGGGGAAGGAATATTTGTAGCCTAGTAATGTTGGGGGAGGGTGTAGAAGGGAACAAATTGAACACATTTTGACTCAGGAGAGCTTTCCACCTTCCCTATAATACCATACCAGTGCCCCACCACTTACGCTGTCTAAGGTGCTATTTGTAGAGCTCTTGCAGGACACAGTAAGAATCCCCCAGTTACCACTGAGGATTGAATGCCATCGTTTATATCAAGGGTCTTATCCATAATGAAATTGGGTCTTTGCTTGGTGACCTGTGGGCTTTCCCGGAACGTATGCTTTTATAAGTTTAGAGGATAATAGGAAGGATGCAGCATAGAGCTCCCATGCTTAGAAACCTCCCCTAGAGCTTCTGGGGATTTTCTAGGTCTGCTTAGCTGATCCCATCTAGCCCAGGATTTGATTCCCCATGGTTAAAGGCAGGAAGAACCAGATGAACAGCTCATAAGGTCAGACAAGCAGATGATCACAAATCAGAAAGATCAAGTCTTTTAATCACATTGACAATGTGTGTTTTAGATGGAAGAACACACACTCATAGAACATGAGGAAAAGACATTTTTAGTAGCAGACTCAATGTTTTGTTTGTTTGAGGGTAGTCCCCGTATCAGAATCTATAATGTCCTCTCCGGGGTAGAAACTTGTAAGTCTCAAAGGAGGAAATATGACTTTTAAATGTAGGCACTGTATTTGTGTAGAAATCAATTTTCTTTACAAAGAAGTACCCCTGGGGGTTTTCTAATCTTGCTGGTAACTGGCACCCTGCAGCAATCAGAGTCTTTGAGATGAATGAAGAAAAAGACCAACTGGTTTGTCCATCCTAATGGGCTTCATTCGTATTTCAATCCAAACTCTGTTGTGAAGCTCAATCTAAGTATTATCTTCTCTGAAATAATTCAGTAGCATAATTTATCCTTAGTGCACACACACATACTTTTGTTACACGTTTAGATATACGAAGCTCTTAACAGTTTCACGATTTTAGACGAATGCAATACTTTAGATGGTTTTTTACTGTAAATTTTTCAGATGAACTAGAAGCATGGACAGAGACTTCTTTTTCTTTCCCTTCCCCATTTGAGAGCCCCTCCAGGAATGATGGCTCGAGCTTTGCTATATATCTATTGCTTTGACAAGATGAATGAAGAGAGCATCATTTTTTGAGTTCAGACAACTGACTGCCATGAGTTTGGGAAGTTATTTAATGTTTGCATTTCTTTTCCATAATATTTAGAGTTATAAAGATACCTTGTATATGTACTTAAGAAGTGTGTCATGGGCATAAAATGACTCACTATATGCAAAAGTACTTTGTAAATTCCATTGTGCCCTACAATTGTAAGTTCATAAGTTGATATACCAAAAACATAAAGATGTCATCAAATGCATGTAGGAGCTTTTCTTCAAGCTTGTTGAAGTGTTCTTCATTATTACTAGCAAAGAGTTCCCTTGAACTTTTAAAAGAAATTTTCTCTTAGATTTATTTCTGTTATCAGTAACCTCCCTTATCATATTCCCTCATCATTCTAATTTTCTATGATTCCGTTCTTTCTACTAATTGTCATAGCACCAAAGTTCTCTGAAAACTCACTGGTATATTTCTTTGTCTTTAGAAAGGAGACATCATAGACATTATCTGCAAAACGCCAATGGGGATGTGGACAGGAATGTTGAACAATAAGGTGGGAAACTTCAAATTTATTTATGTGGATGTCATCTCCGAAGAGGAAGCAGCCCCCAAGAAAATAAAGGCACACCGAAAGAGTGGAATAGAAAAACCCAAGACTCTGCAGGAGTTCTTAGAGAGGATTCACCTTCAGGTTAGCAAACCTGTGACCTATTTGATGCTGGTGGCATCTGGATGGAATAATTGAGGAGAATGGATCAGTGCTGGTACAGTGGTAAAAAAAAAAAAAATATATATATATATATATATAGGACTTACAACAAAGAAAAATCCGTTTTCCAAGAAAACTTCTTAATTCTCCTTTATTACTTTTATTACACAAGGACAGGTCTTGATATAACCTCCCTTGGACTAAACTCTAATGGTACTTAGCAGTGACAGTAGAGATTAATGTTGAGAAAGTGCAGTGAAAAATGAAAAATACCTAGGAGAATAAAAGGTCCAGAGAAAACATGTAAATGAGAATGATAAAGAGAGTATGAAGAGTAAAGGTAAAAATCCAGAGAATTGAAAGGAAACAGGGAAAGAAAATTACATTTTCTATAGGGCAGAGATCAAAAGCAAGTCAAGAGAAGAAAGCTAAATGTAACTGTTTCAAAAGCAATTTCTTAGGAGATAGTGATCATTAAGCCCCCATGATGATTATGTTAAGGAAACTGTATTGTCTATATTTATAATCCAATTATTTTCTTGTTATATTAGCAAAATTTTTATGAAACCTCTACCTCATTAAATGGTGTATACATACAATTTACCTAGCCTCACTCAATTTACTGTTTTGCAACCCATTTCTAATATTAATGCAGCAGTACTTTGATAGTTTTCAAAATTCATCAAGGCAATAGCCAATTAAACTTTTCTTAATTGTTTCTCCTGAGTTATCTAGTTACACTCCTGCCTGTAGACACACTACCTAGGCCTTCTTGTTGCCCCCCAAATGTGGTACTGCTTGGATGAAGTACAAAGTTTAAACCCTGCTTCTTCTTTTTGTTTGCTCTGTGACCTATGAGAAAACCAAGGTCTAAGGAAGTGAAATAACTTACTCAAGAACCCACAATCAGATGATTATGTCAGAATGGGGATTTTGGTTTCTCTGTTCTAATTCAGTGCTCCTTCTAAGAGACATTATTTTTAAAAGAAGTGGTACTTTCTCTCTCTCTCTCTTTTTTTAAAGGGGCTGGTAGTTATTCCTAATTACTTAAAACTTTTATGCTTCCTCTTACTCAGTTTTGGTAACCAAACTAAGGATACTGAAATTATGATCAAGTAAAATGGAAGGAAGTTTTGAGCAAGCTGTAAAGCATTCAACTTCACTTTGCATTTTTATTCTGTTAGAGAGAACAAAGGTTACATAAATAACATACAGACTCAGAAATCAGAAGCCTATGAATTTTAAATTAATATATATTGATGCAAATGATGGACAAACTATACATGCTGAGAAAAGAAAACAATACTTTTCCTAACCACAGTGCTTTTATGCTTAATAAAAACTTTTAATTAAATAGAAAGTCTGGAATTCCTTAGGTTTATATAATGACTTTCACCAAATGCTAAGTCTATTTTTCATGCCTGTTTCAAATTCATCTTTTAAACTACCCCAAGAAGTTAGTGAGGGTAAATTATTTTTGCAAGCCAGCAAACAAGATGTAGATTCAGAAATATTACTATAATTATTCTTTTAGAGGCATTTTATTGATAGAGGTAAGGACACGCTAGCTTTGTCAATTGAACTATTTGAGAAGTGAAAAAGTGCCAAATGGGATGAATGATCCAGCTATTTAATTGATCCATGATTTAGCACTGCACGGCTTAACGTAATTATTTCTTCTTTACATTTGTCCTTCCAGAAGGTGAGAATTCTCCAACATACTCTTTTAAATGCCCTAGAGTTCGTATGTGGAGAACTAGTACAAAGCAAAGTTAAGCAAAAGTTCTATCGGTGCCTTTGGTTTCCATACGCACTTCTACACTTTCTTTAAATCTAAAGAGAACTAAAAATAAAACATTTGAATCTGACTAGTTTATCTTATACATATTTTTTCTCCCCCATAGGAATATGCCTCAACACTTTTGCTCAACGGTTATGAGACCCTAGAAGATTTAAAGGATATAAAAGAGAGTCATCTCATTGAATTAAACATTAAAAACCCAGAAGACAGGATGAGATTACTATCAGCTGCTGAAAATCTTCTTGATGAAGAAAGTAAGTGTGCACACCTACTTTTCTCCCTAGCTGAAAATCACAGTTCAATGTAAATAGTAAAATTATTAAAAACAAAGCCCCAGTTTTATTTACAGAGAATCCCATAAAGCATTCTTTCCCATAAAATAAGTATTTTCTTATTTATTTGGAAACAACAACTCTGGTCGAGTCTATAATTAGGAAGAGGACTTTTTTCCCTTATTGGACTCAGAAAATGAAGGGACTTTTCTGGGCATCTCATTTAGATTCTGCAGAGCTATTAATTTACACACAAGTGGATGTCTGCATTCCCAAAGACTGAGGGAGTTAGAGACAAATATTTAGTGACAGCATGAGCCATTAGTGAGAAATGTCATATGCAACTTCTGTAGAACAGCGCCGAGCGTGGCTCTAAGCTAATGAGCCTTCGCGCCACACAGGAAAATTCATTTCATTACCATATAGTCACATCTTGTATGTGTTTATAGTATTCTTTCAAAATGTTATAATAGCTTGCAAAAATATTCAGCACTCACTTTTATTATCTGAGATGGGTCTCTGTATTTGTAAGTATAAACTGAAGATGAAGTAATGCATGCACATTCACTTACCAACTGGGTTTATAAAGACCGGATAGCTTTTGTTTCTACAGGTGCCCAATCTGAACGCTCTTCTTACTAAATCTGGTCAGGCTTCTGAAACCCTGAGCTCAGGACGTAGCAAACTCCACAAGGAATATTTCCTAAGGAAGAAAGAGGGATGTAGCTACTTTTAAAGATGAAAAAGAACTCAGATCATCTAATCCAACTTTCTCTTTCAAAAGTAATATTGCTCATAATCATTAACTACTTTTTTTGAACCTGTTCTCGGAGTAAAACTTTGAGCCGAGATCTTTACATTTATTATCTTCTTCAATGTGCTCCACAGATTTGTGAGTTAGGGAGTACTGTCCCGTGTTTATAATGAGAAACTGAGAGATAAGTAACTTCTCTAAGCTCACACACATAGTAAATCGTGGAGAGCCAGGGCCAGTGTTTGTGATGCTACTCTACTTTCTACAAGTAACAGCCCAGATGGAGAGCAAGGAGGAAAGTTGTATTTAGGACCCAGGCCTCCTGACTGTCTCGTGGTAGGTTTCCTGTATCCTGTCTCAGATGCTCCAAAATGGGCATAGTTACACAGCACGTGTTTATACACTGGCCTTTTTATCTCGCAGGAATAAATTTACTTTTTTAGAAACTGCATCTCACTTTATTCTTACTTACTGTCTTCAGTTTGCACAGATCTTCCTCCTTTTCAAAGAGCTTTCACATGTAAGACTAATTTGACCCCTCCAGAATTTATTTCCTCTTAGGCCCAGGTGTTTATATGCATCCTTTGAAACTGTGGGGGCTAGGAGAAGGGGATGAGGTCACAAAGGCAGACAAAGGTCAACTTTAAGAAAGTAGCCAATTTACTCAATAGTACAAGCCAAAACAAAACTGATCCATGTAAACTGACGAGGCACTATCTCTGGGGTAAATGAGGCAGTTTCTTTCACACCCTGTCGTTTCTAAACATGGCTCCTCACTAAATAATGTGAGGCTAAGAAATAGATTCTGTAGATTTCTTGGAATTGATAATGTTCGGTATCGTTGTCAATACCCTCCAGAATAATTTGATGTTGAAGTAGTGGGAGGGAAAAGGTATTTTTTGAGCACTTGTAAATACATTGCTTTTCTTCTGTAATACCATCCATATAGGTATTTTGTCCATTCCACAGATGAGAAAACATTTCAGAGATGAATTTTAAAAAGGCCAAAAACAGCTAGATAAGTAGCAGAGCTGAAGTTTTAATCAAAGGCAGTCTGCTATAAAAATCCAAGTTCTTTCTTCCACACATGCAAACTGGTAAATATAGAAAGAACAATGAATATCTGAAAATTGAAGTTTTCTACTATGCCAATTTTCTCAGGAGCTTCAGTTCAGTTTTCCATCCCAGAAAGTGGAAGTTAATACGTAAGTGAGAACAGAAACCTTGCAACAACATTACTGCCTGAAAGATGCAAGACGCCTATGGCCGCATTGCAACAGGCCTGGTGACTAGGAAGGGCGAGAGAGCCTGGGTGAGAAAGGGTTTCAGCCATAAAACAGTGCTCAGTCTGGACCCACAGCGGGAAGATCGGTCCAGCCCTGTGGATTGGGCCATGGATGGTGTCCACTTAATTTCTTCATTCCACCCCCCTCATCCCCCCTCTACTTTCTATGTTAATGAAAGAATAATGATGTATAGATAACATCATATGAGAGCTAGGTGCAATTTGAAAACCCATCTGACCCAAATGCTTCCCTTGCAAGATGGGGAAACTAAAACCAGAGTAGCTAAGTAGCTTTCTCAAGGTCACAAATCTAAACCCAGTCTCCCACATCTATTAGAAACACATCCTACTATGCCCTGGAAACAAAACACAGTATCTCCAAAGCATGATATAAAAAAGTACAAATCCCCCAAAGTATTTCCCTTATAAGACTTTAGAAAATGGTATGTGAAGGTCACTAAAAGTTGATCGTTTAATAAAAACTAGTAATGTGCAAATATACGCACACAAAGCCAAATTCTGGGGGGTGAAAAATAGAAAACCAGTGTTTGTTGTTAACACACAACCCTGAGATTTTTCTTATTTTAATCTTATGGTCTAAAGTAGTACTAGAATATACATTCAAAAAGATGCATATTACATGTTAGGCTATTCTGACTGAAAGCTATTTATCTTGTATGAAACTGCTTTGCTCAAGAAATAAAGAAGAATGACTTCTATTTGTTGATAAGATGGTGAGTTCTGATGATTCGGCACCATGCTGCTGCATGCATGCTTATTTTTATCTATTCTCTACTCTGTGAATCATATCTCCTACAACCATGCTAAAGATTAAATGCACAACCTTCATGTACCTTGAAAGATAAAGACCTTGAATATATGGTTATATAAAACTAAGATATTATTAAAAACAACTGCATGTCACAGTCATAGGTTAAAAATAGGTGTGTGTGTGTGTGTGTGTGTAAGAATGGAGCATGCAAATTGGCCAGGATTTTATGTATGCATTTTATCTTGATCACTGAATATAGTCAGTTTGGGGAATGTCGATAAATTCCTAATTTAAAACCTCAATGCTTCTTAGATCGGGAACTGGAAAGGTTTGCTTTACTAACCCTTCACTATAAAAATTGAGGAGAGTGGACACCTGTTTGAAGAACAAGAGCTTTGAGATGATAGAGGAAAAACTACAAGCCCCATGTGAGCCTTTAATATATCTAGAGGGACCAAGAGGATGGGGGGAGTGGGACAGGGACAAAAACAGAAATCTAATACTTAGAGCAAGCAATTTTCCTTTTCTCTTAGGCCAAAATAGATAGCACTGTACCCACTCTGACCCTGAACATGTAAACTGGATTAACACTTTTTAGGTCACCACTTGACAGGAGGTAAAGGTGTTTCTCCTACAAGCTGATAGAAGGGCTGGGTGAGTGGTGGTAGCACTGATTACAGGATTAGCTCTGGAGGAGGATAACAACTTTGGGGTTCTGCAATCCCGCCAAGGCCAATACCGAGGTATTCTGAATTCGCTCCCGTGTTGCATTAGAACTGAGCAGAATTAGGTCACTGGCTCCCTCCGCTGGGAATCTAGATGAGGTTAGAAGGAGAAGAAAAATTGGGGTGACACTCGGCTTTTGAAGGAGCAAAAGAATTATTTGGTGCACATTAGGATTGCTCTCTTTCTCATCTGAATTTTAAAATGGTTTCTTTGCTTTGAATAAAGATTCCCAGTAAGAATAGAGAATGTGTGTGTGTGTGTGCGTGTGTGTGCATATGTTGTTCATAAACACAACCTTCAGGACCCCTTTGCTTGCTAATAAATGCCTCTTGCAAATAATCAGAGTTAACTGCTATTTATAGTAAATATTTTCTCTTTATTCTGAACTTGTTCCTCTCTTCCCGCATTTAGAGGCACTTTGATGTGTCTTAAAAGTGTGATGAGAATGTGTACTATTGTCCTCAGGGAAAACGGGTGATGGAAATAGCTTGTTCTCCATATAAGCACAGGAATAATTACATTTTAAATTGGAGGGAAAAGATTAAAAAAACAACCAACCTAGTAACTGAATAAGCAAACTGTCCTGGAAGCTGTGTATCATATATTTTAGATAGCTGCAACCTCTGTTGGCAGTGCTCAGTGAAGAGGAGAGGGGTTTGTGTGCCAGGCTGTTGGCACCAGCTGTGGTCACAGCAGCTCCACATTGCTCAACTATCCCCAGTTGTGCCTTCCCGCCTGCCTACGTGCCCAAAACGACGCAGGGCAAGAGGCGAGTCCCAGCCAGGAGCCTGGACCGCGAGCTGCCGGCAGGGGAGACTTGTAGTTAATGCCAAGCAGCAGCCCAGCGGTCGGTCTGACAGCGGGCCAGGGTAGCCTGGCGCCCTAGCCCCGACATGCATGCCTGGTGTTCCCAACCCCCCTGCCGTATGATTTGGATCTAGATTCAAGAAAGGTACAGCTTTTCAGAAACACAGGCTAACCATCCACATATACACAGTAGAGAAGGCACACGGGCATCTGACTTTTATGTATTTATAAATATATTTAATATATATTTCTAGTTATAGCTGTTTAGCTTTATGCAATTCAATTTCTTCAGATTTCTTGTTGGTTTTACCACCTCCCCTGAAGATTTAATTTATGATTGATGCCATATTCTATATAATAAAAAAACAACAAAATTAAATGTAAACATTTTTAGTCTTCCATCAGAGAACAGTGCCCAGAGGGGAGAGTCCATAGAATTTTCACCTCAGTCACCTAAGGCACTTGTAATGTACTTGTTTTTATATTGCGCTATGATTGCGTACTAGGCATGACTTTGTATGATTACCCTGGTCAAACAAGACAGAATCCTCTAAAGCATATGCCTTCCCCGAAGCCCCTAGTTCTGTGCTCTGCACTGAGTAGACAGTTTACAGATACTTGCAGAATGAAAAACAAAA